GCAGCTTGGGAGGGACCTGTGTTATTAGATGGAATCAGAGCCAATAAGCTGATGTTGTTGCATGTGTAACCATGACAACGCACATCGCCACTTCTGCTGTGCCCACCCAACAGGGTTCTTCTCCTCTAGACAATAAAGAGAGTTCCAGCCACTAATTATGGTTTCCTTTGGTCTTTTTAAAAGAGTTAGCTGTGGCATTCTCTCCCCAACCCCACCATCCTGCGTCCATCATGATATTCCCAGCAACAGCTCATACTCAGAGGAACTTAAACTATAGGGTAATGAACTCTATTGTGTGGCCAAGACTTCAGATATCGAGCATCTTGGAACTACTTCATTCAAGAATTTTCCAGGGATCTGGGTATCCATCTCTCATTTTTTCTTGTTTTGTTTGCATTCATGGTTGCAACAGCTCCAGACATCACTTAGTATCACATTGTGTTCAGACACAAGGGTATTTCTCCCACATATGTATAAACATGTTTTAAGTGGCAAAGGAGAAGGAAAACGGGTTTCCGTCATACTTTACTAGTCACACAATATCCCATGCCTATATCTAAACACCTAGCTGGGACATATTATTATTATTGTGATGGGTAAAGACTCATCGAGGCATACCCTCTGGGTTCTCCCTAGATAGGAAGACACTAAGAGAGAAATTGACAAAACAAAATCACAGTCTTTGGCAGCAAAGTGAGCAATTAGGTAGACTTGACTCCTGCATCTCTTTTTCGTGGAGCTGGAGAGCAACGGTTGTTTGTTAGGGAAAGACCATGTCCTCTCATCTCCTCCCTGATTATGATCTGCTGTGTTTCCTCGCCTTTTTTCCTCCATAGGTGTCTCTGTCCTGTTAGTTTTCCACCTTCGTTAGTTGAGGTGCTGAGAGCAGTCTAGAGAGGTGAGGCCGAGTTGATAGTCCTTAAAGAGAGCGTGTGTGCACTCTGTGTTTTGTGCTGTGAGCCCTCAGGTGTGGAGAGTCCTCAGGGTGTTTGTCGAGACAAATTGGTGCTTGAGAAACCAGACATTCTCATGCTTACTTCCTCCCTTCCCAAGCCCTGCCTGTCCCTCTTTGGCTGCCCCTCCATGTCACCATCTTAAGCATCCCTCTAAGCTCCGCTAGCCAGGAGGTCCCTGCTAGAGCCTCCTCCCCACAGTTAACCTAAGCCAACTGATTTAGTTTAAGGTTCCTTCTTGGCTTCCTAACATGCTCCCATCATCCATCACAATGCCAGGTTCTAGTAAGGGCCCTCTTGGTGGTATTCCACATAGTGGCTTCTCGCTACAGTCCTGCCTGAGAAGACCTGCACCAGCTTCACTTTCTGGCAGGAAAAGGTCATTTTACTTGTGCATTAATATAAGTCTGTCACTTTACAATGTCAACTTGTTTTTGTCCTTCTTGTTTTTTTATCCCCCCCCCCCCCACCACCACCACCACTCAAATCCAGGTGCTTTCCTGGCTTCATTGTGTAGCCCTGTGAATGCCTGGGTACCACCCTCCTCTTTGGAGGTCTCTGCTGGACTGTTCTGGAAGGTGTGTTTGGAAGCATCCTTCCTTCCTGATTCTGAGCACTCCCTCCGGAGGCAGCAGGTAGGCTGTCCGAAAGTCAAAGGGTGGCCACAAAATCACACTTGAATGCAGTCTTTCCCCTAGGCAACTGAACATAGAGCAGTGTAAGATCAGAGAGAGCCAACAAGGGGGGCAGGAGAGGGTCTAATTAGAGGGAAAAGCAAGAAAAGCAAGAAGAGCTAGGCTCTCTAGAGTACGGTTGCACAAAAACAAAACACCAAGACACAGCACGGGGGCAATTTACACCTCTCGATAAATGACAATGTTTTCTTTTGACTGTGTGGAGGGCAGGTGCACACAACACTGAGAAGTTTCACTTTGGCCAGTCTTGTGTGAGTTTGGGAATGTGTGGGGAGGGAATCTGAGCTGAGGCCAGGACCGCTCCTTTAGAACAGGGCTTGCCTGTTAGGCAGGAGTTGAGTTTGAGCCCCAGCAGGGAAGTGAGAAAAACAAAACAAAACAAAACCACAAGAATCCAGGTGTTTTGGCACACACTTGAAAGTCCAGTGTATTGAGACAAGATGGACATGGGTGGGTCCCTGGAGCTCACTGGGCAACCCAATTAGTTGTTTGGTGGATTCCAGAGTTTCAAAACCCTGTCTCAAAACAATAAAAATAATGGACTGTGCCCAAGGAGTAACATCTTGGATTGTCTTCTGACCTCCACACACATGCATGGACATGCACATACAACATTAAATCACCTTAAGTACATGGTACTGTTTTTTAAAATTACTTGCTATTTTGTAGTTTCATTTAATGAAAGAATAACTTGTTTGCACAGAGAACTGGGTTCCTCCATCACCATGTATCATATTTAACTAGAACTTGTGCCACGGTTACCTGAAATAAAGAAGCCTGGAGGCTGGGGAGATGGTTCAGTGCTGGTTGTGAGCTGGCTGTGTAGCTGTAGTGATTGGAGTTTGGATGCCCAGCATTCATGTAAAACGGGTGGGTGTGGCAGTCTCCTGTCGTACAAGCCTTTGGGAGGGACAGACAGACTCTGAGGAGCCAGATAGCTATACTAGCTAAAACAATGAGTTCCAGAGTCAGTACATTTGAGAGTCTGGAACACACACACACACACACACACACACACACACACACACACACACATACCCCATATGCATAAAAGGAAGAAGTAGAGGGTGGGCTCTATGGCTCAGTGGGCAAAGGTGCTTGCTGCGCAAGCCTGGCAACCAGACTTCAATGCCCAGAACCTGGGTAATGGATTCCTCAGAGCTGTTCTCTGAGCTCCACACATCACCTGCATCAATGGCAAGTGCACGCCCTCATCCCCACATCGTGCACATACACACAATGAATGCTTTTTCAGGGTTATCCTTGCTGACTGGGAGATTAATGGTCTGCGGTTATCTGTACCACCCTTCCCCCAACCTTCCCCGAGGCCAAGCCCAGGCTGGGCTTTGCTTCCAGCATTCTGTAGCAACTTACCCCTTGCAATCTGTCACCTCAAATTCTTTGATCATATGGCAGTAGTGAAAACTACCAAGGATGTAAAGATTTTATGCATTTTGTCCAAACAGCAGATCTAAACTCAGTTGGTTTATTTCCTGCAGGCTTTTAAGTTGGCTAAAGCACTCACTGATTTGCTCTATTTTCTTAAGTTTTTTAGTATTTTTGTGTATATGCACTAATAAGCCCCACTCGGGGGGGGGGGAATTAAAAACATCCCTGCCATTCTGAAAAACAGCTTATCCTAACATCTAAAGATAGCATCCCTAATTATTGTCTACATTGTGTGTAAGCTATGCGGGATCGAGCATTATTCTTGCTTTACCAGCTGTGGGTAGGTGCAGCCATTACATCAAATGCTTCTAATTTTACAGAAAGAAATCAAAACAAGTGTGGGTTTAAGTCCCAGCAATGAACGCAAACCCTGTGAGTCAAACCGGCAAACTGATTAGGAAGCCGGCCAGGAAGTCAAAACAGCAAACATAAAGAGATCCATAAGCCAGATCTGTAAGATGAGGGGAGTAAAAATAGAAGCCAGGGATCAAGTAGAGTCCAGTGGGCGGTCTTGGTGGCACACCGGGTTTTATGCCAAGAACCAGATGTCCGCCTCATGGCTCCCAATCTTCTCTTCTTCAGTCCCCTCCCCGCCAAAGCTGAAAAGGCAGAGCTGACTCCCATGGCCTCTGGTTGGTTGGCTGTAGAAACGCTTCTTAGAAACCTCAGGTGGCTGCCTCTCATTTACTAAAAATCCTGAAAATCCTTCTAGCTGCATGACACTCGCTACCTCACAAGGTGTCTGGACCCATTGTTAGGTATAGCTTTGTCTGGCTTTATCGGCAGCTGTTAATAGACTAACTGGATCTGTATTAATTATGCATGTTCTGCTAAGCTCCTCTCATGAACAACACCCGATTTAGGCTTCAAAACAACCCTGCATGATGACCAGGTTTTCACGTGGGTTCAGTGATTCGTTCAGGTCATACAGCTTGGAAGCGTGTGGCAGAGCTGGGGTTCAATGGGGTCTTTCTATGTGAGCCCAAACTGCCAGCTGGCATGCTTGGCTCTTTCGGTGGCCTGCAGTTTGCTCTTTTGGTATTTTCGTGGTGTTTCTTAGCTCTCAGGAGAGTTGCTAACTCCGTGAACGGACAGAACAAATACAGGCTGGGTCTGCTAGAGTATTGGGGGACCCAAGAAGAAGAGAAGACAAGCCGTGAGAAGCACCTGCTGATCCCAAGCCTAGCTTCCCCCAGGGTTCTGAGTTGGCCATCACATGGCAGCAAAGGAGAGGCGGTGGTTGGAGATGGACTTCATGCCTCTCCAGCATGGCTTCCCACGTCACTGGCATCTCACTTGCACAGCTTCCAACTGTGGGGACGACGGGGTAAAGCTCTGCACAGGGGAAGGGCTTCTGGCTGTGGTTCAGTTTGTCTCACAGCTGAGGTCTGGGAGACGTGGAGGCTGCCTTGCCGCACCAGGTTGGGAAGCCTCTGCTGGGAGATGGGCTAACACAGGCACTCAGATCGGGTTTGTAGAGGTAGAAGACATACACAGGCAGTTCTCTAACACCTGGGGAGCTGCATACCTGGGCACCTCAATACTTACCCGACTCTCATCAGGCTAGGGGCTCCAGCCTGGGACTCATTTCACAGCACATGAGGTTTTTTTGTTTTGTTTTGTTGGTTTTTCTTTTTTCTCCCTTCCCTCTCTATTCTCTGGCTCTGGGTTGTGTCGATATCTTTTTTGTAAAGAAGCCACACACATGCACATTTAAATGTCCTTGAATGGCTGTTAAGCCTCAGTCCTCCAAAAGGCATAGCAATTGATGATAGAACCTTCTCCCTACAGGACTGGGGAGGCAGGAGAAGACCTGCAAAGACTCGGGGATATTTTTGGGGAAGGAGAACTGAGCCAAGAAGTCTCAAAAAAAAAAAAAAAAAAAAAAAGTACCCAAGGCCAATGCAGGACTGAATTGCTGTGCTTTAATGTGCAACACACAGGTTGCCAAATACCCTCAAAGGAGCTGCTCTCCATGGGGTGCAGGCACCATATGGGGACTAGCTGAAAACAGAACCAGGGGCACCCCAGGAGGTGAGCTGAGACGTGGAACCCTAGGTGTGTGTGAAGCAGGGTGGTCTCAGAGCACCTAGGAGGAACAAAAGGAGGAAAGAAGAGGTCCCTAGGGAAGAGAGGAGTCTCTTGTGCTAGGGGATAGGAAAGAAAAGACGGACGAGAGGAAGTGGGGTGGGGGTGGGGGTATTTCGGTGCACCTGGGGGGAGTGTTCTCAGAGGTGCTGAATGGGAGGTCCCCAGAGCGGAAAGAGAGCTCGTGCGATCTCGGAGGTGGTGGGAGGGGGGTTCTCTGGGAGCAAACAGAATCAAAGACTGTTTCAAAGGGCATTCTAGGAGCATCTATGATTGTCTGGACACATAGGGCCCTTAAGGTGGAGTGTCCAGCATGGAGGGGAACCTCCGTCATATGGAGGTATCTGGGAGCACAAAGGAGTTCCGGGTCTGTGGAAGTGTCTAGGGCATGAAAGGATTCCTGGGTTAGGTGTCTGGGCCGCGGGGGTGGGGTGGGGTGGGGCGGGCACCTGGGGAGCGCAGAGGTGACTGGGGGGTGGTTCATGAAGGCATCTGGGGCCATACAGAGGTGTCTGGGGTGCGTGGAAGCATGTGAGACTCTCAGAGGCGCCTGAGATGTCTGGAAGGCATCTGTCTGGGATGCACGGAGGCGACTGAAGTGCGCGGAGGCATCTATGCGCCGCACGGCTGGGCTGGGCGGCCGGGGGTGACTCTTAAGCGGCCTTGCACTCGCTCTCCCGCCGCCGCTTCTTGCGCTCGGCGTGCTCCTGTGTCTGGCGAGCCCAGGCCGCGGGAGTACTGGCGCCCACCACGCAGCAGGCGAGCCGGCGACCGGCATTGCCGTTCTCCACGCTGGCCTGGTTGCCGCCACGGCCCAGGTCATCCTCGCCGGCGTGGACCACCACCGCGCGGCCCAAGATCGAGTGCGGGCCGGCCAGCGACGCGGCCAGGCCGGTGCGGTACTTCCAGAGGCGGCCGTCGCGCACCACGAAGTTGCCGAAGTCGCCCGGGTGCTGCGGGTGCTGCACGGCCATCGGGTTGTAGTGCGGCCCGGTGGACTCGCAGCCCTGGCTCAGGTCCCCGAACTGATGCACGTGGATGGCGCGGCTGGAGACGTTCGGCTCGGTGGGGAAGCCCTCCAGATCGAAGAAGGCCTCGAGCCTGGCGCCGGGCGACAGCTGCCGGAAGAGGACCAGGCCGGTGACCCGCGGCTGATCGGTCGCCAGCGAGGCTGACGGCTGCACCTGGCAGACTGCGTACATCTCTGTGGCATCCACCTCCCGCCGTCGTCCAAGCTCCAACCAGATCTCCTGCACTTTGGCATGGGTGTCGCTTATCTTCTCAGCCAGGTCTGGCTTGATCTCTGCTAAGCCGAAGCTGGACTCCTCAGGATCCGGCAAGGTCCAGGTGACAGAGCCACGGGCCGCCAGGAGCAAGCCACAGAACAGCAAGGCCAGCATGGCTGAGGTTCTGCGCCTGTGGGACAGACGTCCCCATACACGTAAGGGGAAAGCAAGCCTTAGTCACTTGAAATGTCCAGTCTCACGGACCTCATTCTCACATCCTAAGCCCACAGACCCCACAAGGGACTGCCTGGGTCTTCTCCCATGCTTATTTATTTATTTATTTATTTTTACAAACGTGTCTCTAGGGCTTGCTGGGTGCCAGGCACAGGGTCATTGGCTATATTTGCAGATGTACCCAACGCCTACGTTCAGAAACTCACAGAGATCTGAGTCACACAAAATTGACAATCCTCCCAAGTCCTGTCTCCACAGCCAATAGCTGTTAGGAGTCTTAGGGGCCTTGTCTGCCCTTCCAGATCTAGCTCTTCTCACCTCCCTGCCTGACCTCCTGGCAGGCTCTTCCCGTGTTCTTCCGGCAGGCAGGCGTGAGACTGCCCCTGCCGTCTTGGTTCTTGCTGGTACCGAACCCTCTCTCTGAAGTGTTCGCACCCTGATCCCCACCACTCCGCTGACTTGGAGCCTAGGGTGGTGGCAATTCCGTTTTCTTCACGGTTTCTCCCTGAAGTTCCTGCCGTAGTCTCCTAACTGGTGGTCCTCGGCCTATGTCTGTCTCTGAGTCTGTGCGTTTCTGTCTGCCCCTAGACTGTGCCCACTGCCTTTCTAGTCCTGTCCATCTCCTAGGTCCATACCAGGCAGCAGGACGCCTAGTTGTTGCATGAAGACAAGGGTGAAGACAGGCAGGTCCTCAAGCCGTTCCAGCACAGTGCTAAGGTGGAAGTTGGAGCCTCGTGCTGGGGACACTGAAGAAGCCATGTCCACTCCCAGTGGGGGTGGGGTGGCAGTGCACAGATCTAAAACATCACATCCATCCCATAAATATGTACAAATACGTATGTTTCAAAAAGTTAAAGTTCTGATCTAACATAAGGAAGGATGAGGGCCGGGCTTTGGACACTGAGGACTGGGGAAAGGCAATGGGGACAGTCTAGGGACAGAGACGGACCCAGGCCCAGAGAGACACAGCCTTAGGACTAGTTAGGTGGCCATTGGAGGAAGCCAAGGCAGAAACGATGGAAGCTGTTACTAAGTGGAAGTGGCAAACAGAGAATGCCATAGGTGTGGTAGCCATGGCAAGAGGGAGGAAGAGGAATAGTAGTTGCCAGAGGCTGAGGTGTCCCAAAGAGGAGAACATGTGGGTGCATGTGGGTAACAGGCCCAAGAGGAAGTGGGCTAGGGTATGTGCAGTGGTGGGGACATCCCCATCCAGGGGCTGGACAGATGTTTGGGAGTTCAGGTCTGGTACTTGGAAGAGGCCAGAAGATTGGGTTAGTGTTGAGTGCATATCAGGTTCTCTTTGTGTGTGTGTGTGTGAGTGTGTGTGTGTGTGTGTGTGTGTGTGTGTGTGTGTGTGTGTGTGTATGTGTGTGTGTAGGGGCCCAAGGTTGACATCAGGCATCTTCCTCAATTTCTCTCCACCTTATATATTGAGACAGAGTCTCTCACTGAGCCCGAGGCTTGCTGTTGTCCTTCTGGCTAGTCTGGCTAACCAGATGGGGATTCCCTATCTTTTCCTCCCTGTCACGAAGATCACAGGTTGACCACCACACCCATCCAGCTTTTTACATAGTTTCTGGGGATCCAAACTTCCCATCTTTGCTTTACCCTGGGCCGCATCCCCAGCCTGGATTCTGGTTTCTAAAACCAAGAAGCCCAACCATCCCCCACCCAAGAGATTCTAATTCAGAAGGGCTTAACTGATCTCTGTTTTTTTTTTTTAAGTTTAAATATTCTGGTGCTCCCAAATAATGGAAAGGTACAGAATTCATCCTCAGTTACAACACAGCCAATTCACTCGATATGTGGGTGATGGATTTCAAAATGCCTCATGGAGTCCAAAATCCATGGATGTCCAAGTCCCTTGCGTAAGATAGCAAGATGTGTGCACAGAAGCAGCTCAGATGGTCCTGTGCACTTTAAAACATGCCTGGATGCCTTACTGCAGTCACCGGGGTCAAGGCTGTGTAAAGAGCCGTTCCATGGAGAAAGGCCTGCGTATGTTCACTACAGATACAGGGTGGGCTTTTTTTCTCTGTTTAGGTTTTGTAATTTCTGTCCAAGGTTGTCTGAGGTATACAACCCAAGGACACGGAGGGTGACTGTACTGTGACTTTGCAGGGCTACAGTCCATAGCCTCGGCTCCTTACCTGTAAAATAAGGCCAGTTCTGCTACAGAAGGCCATGGTGAGGGTCAAGGCAGATATTTATAAAGGGGATACTTGCACATTTTAAAACCTGCCCTAAGGGATTAATGATCCCTCCAAGGGGCTAGTTGAAGGTCATCTGTGCTTTCAGAGCCCTTCTACAACCCCTGAATAGGTGCCATTTAAAATGAATGGACTGTGGGTTCTTTCCACAGCTGTTACGGAAGGACAATTTAGTACGGTGATTATAAGAATGGATTCGGGAACTCACCCCATGAATCTAAAACTTGACTACCACTTACGCTCTGAGGTTATCTGCTACTGCTGTTTCTGTGCTCAGGAGCGGTGTGCTGAGCTGCAAACGGTCCATGGGCCTGCTTCCTCTCTGAGCCCATTTCTCATCTGCAAGTAGCCGCAGGCATACCTACCTCTGGGGAGCTTGCTGCCTACCAGGCTTCAAAAAGAAGACTGAAATCGCCAACACCAGTTGAATCCTTGAGCCAGGCACTGTGAAAAGCCTTTGGCATATGTGACTTGTAGACATATATATGTATGTGTGCACATTGGTGCACGCATGCCTGCTTGTGTGTGTGTGTGTGTGTGTGTGTGTGTGTGTGTAGATCATTGATTGAGTTAGATTGATAGGCCAGCAAGCTCCCCAGTCCACCACCATTGTGCCTTGCTTTTTCGCGCATGCTGGGGATCGAACTCAGGTCCTCATACTTTGCTGACTGAGCCGTCTCCCCAGTCCCCGGGTTTGAATCCTGGCAGGCACTCTATGAGATGGATACAATGGGCAGAAAGCAGAGGCATGGAGTTGACCCTATGTCCCCAGGCTACACATTCACTGAAGAGCTCAGGGCAAGATCTGGAAGTGAATGGTTGTCCCTCAGGCCCCCCTTCAGAACCACACTGCCCAGTTTTCAGATAGGGCTCTCGTACAGAGCAAGTTCTCGGCAAAGGGCAGCACGTGGCTGCCAGGGAGAGGCTGCTGCTGGAGCTGTGAGGACCATCAGCTGAGAGATGCTGTGGAGGCCAAGGAAGGAGGAGGGAACCAGAAAAGGCTTGAGAAGGAGTAAGCCAGGTAGGTCTCAGGGGACACTGGAAAAGTGACATCTAGAGACTCTCCCCCTTTTGATATGGCCTAGTGTGGCCCTCCTTTGGAAGCTTTGGGGAGTGGGTAGAGAAGTACGGGAGCAGCCTTGTGCATCTGGCCTTAAGCTCTCCCCGGACAGGGATCCTCTTCTGAGGCAGCCTATCACTCCGGCATGTTCTGTGCTTACGCTTCGCTTCAGGAATTCTCCCTTCAAAGCCCAGAGCAAAATCCAACCGGAGTGTGTTTGTGGGCTTTTCTCAGAGTGAACGTTTTTTTTAAAAAGACATTTTATAAAGAACATGCTTCCTTACCCCCAGGTAAACCCGGACTCCTTGTTTGTGAGGTCTCCTTTCCTTGAGTATTTTCACCCGTCAGCTGCTCTTTAGAAGGAGCCTTTGCTGGCAGCCGGAGCCGACAAAACCCTGGGACTTAGGACTTTCCCAAGCAAGTGACTCTTGAGGGTACCTGCTCATCCCCACCCTCCATAACTCCAATACCCAAGCCACGTAGTGACCGAAGACAGCCTTCATTACATGACACTTATAGCATTAAAGGCCTCTTGGACCAGCCACTGCAGGCCAAAGGAGAAAGCTTTCTTCCCATTGACTTCCTCACCCGAGAGCAGCCAGGCCTATCACTAAACTGGGTTTCTTTCCCAAGAACATGACTGAACCTTTTCCAACAAGTGCCGGCTGCCCCAGCCCGGTTTCCAGCTCTTAAGAGGCACGCTCCTCAAAGAATGAAATTAAGCTCAGTTTGGCACGCACCTGTCAAGCTCTCCAAGAGCGCTTTCCCTCTGGCGAAGTGGGGAGCAGCACCCAGTTAGGGGCCTGAGGAAGAGCCTGTGGGCTGCCTCCCCAGAGCTGTCTGGCTGGCTGTTTGTGAGCAGCAGGGAGGCCAGCCCCGGGGAGTGGTCAGCAAAAGGGAAGAAGGTCATTGGGCTGGCTGAGACAAGAAAATCCAGCCTGGCTGTCCCTTGTGGTAAAATTGCTGCCGCCTCCTCCTCCTCCTCTTCCTCGTCATGTTTTTCCTCCTCCTTCTCCTTTTCTTCCTTCCTCCTCCTCCTCCTCTTCCTTCTCCTGTTCCTCTTCCTCCTGCTTCCCCCTCCTCCTCCACTTCTTCTTCTTGTCCCCACCTCCCAGATCCTTTCCCAATGCTGCTTCCCCTTGCCAAGCACGCCTTTCGTGACTTCCCTGGCTTGTGCAGACGCAGTCAGTGACCTTCAGAACGCAGCAGGGGAGCAGAAAGGAGAAGGAAAACAGCTTGTTTGGAGAGGTGTACAATGGTCTCTTTATGGAAGGGCCTTTTCTCGTCCCCCGACTCCCTCCGCTGTTGACTTCTGCTTCTGGATGCTGGTATGTGTTTAAGACAGACATGGGCGCTGAGTGTGACACTCTCTCCAGAACTGTGCTACCACACAGGGTGTGGGGCAGGCACGGGAGTGTGCCTTCACAGCCTTGCCATTTGCTCCCCGTGTGCTCCCTTTACCTCCCTTCCAGCATCTGTGAAATAGGCCCAGGATATGGATAGCTCCCATCCCCGTGAGAATCAAAAGAGTAAACCCGGTGTCTAGCTCTCATAATGACATTAGTGAGTCAAACAATGACCAGAACAGTGACATGACTGGTGTCACTGTTGTATTAAAGTAACCGAGGAGGACGGTTTGTTTCTGAAACAGGGTTGCATGTGTCCCAGTCTAGCCTCAATTTGCTATGTCATGGAGGGTGACCTTGAACTCTTAATCTTCCTGCCTTTAGCTCCCAAATGCTGGGATTACAGAACTGCACCACCATGTTTATGTGTTGTTGGGGACCAAACACAGGCCTTGACGCATGCTAAGCAAACACTCTGCCAACTGAGCCCCAGCCCAAGAAGTCCCTTTAAAAACGGTACGTGGAATGGATATGTCAGGAGCCTTTACCCCAGAGTCATTGTTTCTTCTGTTATCACGAACTCTTCTCCACCACAGATGCTCTTTCCATGAGCATTAGTTTCTCTTTCCCTGAAAAGCTCCCTATCCCCGCCATGGGAAAAGTCAGCTTGCTGCTGCCTGTCTGTCTCCCCGAATTCCTTCAACAAACGGTTAGTGGGTACCTGCCCCTTACCAGGCACCAGGTCGCACACCGGAGACTTGAGCTGCCCAAGTCCCTGTCCTAGAAAACAGAGGTGCCAATGGTAGGTACAGCTATAGACAGAGGGACAGGATCCCACCTGTGGCTGGGCCTGACAGACAGAAAGTTGTTCAGTAACCTGTCCTCTGGGCTCTACCCAGAGCTTAATGAATCTACTTCAGGTGGAGGCTCCTAGAAGCACTGTGTTTAATTAAATACAGATGGTTCTGCTGGGCAACTGTGTTTTGAGACCACTGCTCTGCTGAAAGACCCACAGGAAAGGCCTGTGTCCAGGGGCAGCTACTCTAAAAGATGGGAAGGGGGCTTCTCGGGACCTGAGGACTCTGGCCTATCTGTCCTCATCTACTTTCGAGGGTAGACACCTCTGGAAAGAGCAGCTCAGTCTTGAGCTCTGCATCTGCTGTTGGGAGTAACTGGTCTCCACCAATGATCTTACAGAGTACGAGATGCCACCCACCCCCCACCCATAGCCATCAGTCACCCTCAGCCACTCACCACCCAGAGTCACCCACAACCACCCACCACATATAGCCACCCTTCCAGATTCTGGCTTCTTGTCATGGCTTTTTCATTCATTTTGTTAAGTCCTTATTTTCATTCAGTCCTTGAAGTAATTCTTGCATAAGCTCCCAGCGACTGTTTCAAGTGGCACTGTCTTCAAAGAGCCTCATTCTATTTCTTTCAAGACTCAAGACGAGTTCCTTCATTCTGGGATTCTAGGATTAGTGTAAAGCCCCAATTCACTTTCTTTTTTATGCCCTCTAAGAGAAAATTGCCTTTTCTTACTCCATCCTTGCAACATTCATCCCCTTTCCTTGAATATCATGATCTCATTTCCTTCTTAAAGGCCAACTTTACTCCTAGATGCAAAGCTAAGTGTTTGGCTTGGGCACCACTTGTCATGGTCAAGACACGATGCATTCTGGGACAGTGAGACTCCAAGATACTTGATTGGGATTTAGACTCCCCCAACCCCTCCCTGAGACAGAGTTTCCCTGTGTAATGGTCTTTGTAGATGAGGCTGGCCTAGAACTCACAGAGATCCACCTGCCTCTGCCTCCAGAGTTCTGGCTTTGATTGGGACTCTTAAAAGAGATATATCCTCTCTTTCCTGACTTGAAACCGGAAAGAAACCGTGGTCACTGTACTCCACCAAGGGAGAGACTGTCTGAGGCCAAGGCCCACGCATAAGGAAATAAAATGAAAGTACAGTCAAAACAGGAATTTGGTGGAACCCAGCGTCTAGCCGTAGCTGAAGCTCTGCTTTCGTTATGTGAACCTTCTCATAGTATGAGAAAGTATCATGAGTATCATGGCTAATGCTTGCAATCATTTTGCAATGTGGATATTAATCTATCTACTCTAATGATAAGGACATGTGGTTCAGAAAAGGAGAAACTATGGGTTCAAGATACAAGGCTAGAAAATGGCCAAGTCAGAATTTAAATTTATAAAATAGGCCCAGTGACACACACCTGTGATCCCAGTCACTCAGGAAACCGAGATAGATGAATTGCAATCCTAGGCCGGTCTGGGTTACACAGATCTCAAAAAGCAATTTTCTTAAGGGTTGGGAGGTAGAACAGAGAAAGCATGCTTGCCTAGCTTGCTCTGGGTTCAAGTCCCAGCCCTACAAAATTAAAAATAGTCATTTTTTAGATAGAAAAAAATAAAACAAACAAACAAAAAACTCTAATCCAAGATCTGGCCTGGTTCCTAAGCCTGGCCTCTTAATCATTACATTTGGTTACCACCAGCCTGGTGCAGAGATGAGAGAAAAGGTACAAGGACGTGGTAAGTAAGCTCTGCAGAGCTGACACCGAACCACTTCTGACCCCGCAGACTGTTAATGTGTAACAGGACAGGTCCCGTGCAAGTTGTAAGGCTCAGAATTAGAAACGTCAGGAAGCGCCCTTCCCACCCCTGGAGAAGAGGGCTCAGCTCAGGACCTTTGTACTTGGCCGCTGGATTGGCAGCTGTGAAGGACCTCTCTAGGAGCTAAGTTTCATCAGCAGGTGGTGTTTCAGTAACCTTGGAAGCCAGGGAGCTCGGATCACCTTCCTCCAAGCGCAGGTGGTATGCAGTGACAGTTTACCCAACCTGAGCACTTCAGACACTCCGGAGAAAACTCCAAGTGATCCCTGCCTGCCTGGAGTTTGCCCAGAACCCCCGCTGAGGAACAGAAGCTGAACAGACACTCTGCACATCAGTCCTTTGGTCTAACCACATTTGGATAATCGAGGGGAAAGAGGCTCCTCACTGCCAAGGTCGACAGGAAGGGAACAAGCCCCATTCTTCTGAATAGAGGTAAAATAATGACTAACATTTATTAGCCACCCTTTGTGTGCCGGGCGCTGGCTAAGGAACACTTGATGGTTACCTTAAAGGCACTGCCTGTGGGTGAAGAGTGGCTTGCACTCTGTTGCATGTGATATCCTGGCAAGTTTCCTTTACACTGTGAAGGAAATGTCACCTGTCCCTCCAGCAGTGGCCATCGAGGAGAAACACTCATGCATAGGAGAACAGAAATGAAAGGCTTTTCTTGACCAGAAGGACAGTGGATGGAGACTATTCCTCCAGGGAACACGAGATCAAAATCCCTCCAAGTTAAGTTCCTGGTGTGTTCTGAGCAGCCTGAGAGAGAGAGAGAGAGAGAGAGAGAGAGAGAGAGAGAGAGAGAGAGAGAGAGAGAGAGCGCTCTATTTCTTTGGTGCTGCCAGTTGTAAACAATAGAACAGAATGGGGAGCGAAAGTATGCATGCATATCTAAGTCTGTGCCTGTTTCTTCAAAATAATTGCATGGAACACTCCACTTGGGAGAAGAGAAACAGTCTTCAGCTTACATGTTTCATATTTATTTAATAAACATCTGCTGGACCCAGCAGCTATATTTATCCATCTTCTTGCTGCCTCCTTCTCTCAAACTGAAAAGCTGAGACTTCCTTTCCCAGAACCCCTTTCAACTGACAGTGGTCAGGTGACCCATTCTCAGTTTGGAAAACAATGCAAGACCCAACTCTTGGCTGCTTTTTGGAGGGAAACATCAAATATAAGGACACGGACAGGTTGGCAGTGAAGGAATGAAAGGAAATTTTAGTGTGTAAGGAGGCGGTGTCTATTAGCAAGTTAATATCAGTCAAAATAAGTGCCAGGACACTGCTGTAGTCACAACCCAACACTGCACAGAGATAAAAAGGTACCGTCACTAGAAAGGCATTGGAACGCTCAACATTTTAGATATGCAGTAAAAAAGTTTGGAATATATTAAGTGAAAACCCATAAAACTAAAGACAGGATAAAATCCAAAATCAGAACAGAACATTAAAAAAAAAAAAGCTTTTAGTAGTTCATACAAAAAACAACCTGGATATCGATGAACTGAATAAGCTATCCATCCACACAACTGAGTATATTCCCAATAATTGTGAGATAAGGGGTTCCCAAGGTTACGGTGTGCTCATCACACCAGATCCTATGCTAGGCCAAAACATTAGCTTCACTAAGGCCTAAGAGGTGTCACCTGATGACAAAGAGACTGAGATCGAAATCAGTGAGCTGTCCAGAAATCCCCCAATACATGGAAACCAAACCATGTCCTTCCAACAGAAGGAGCCAGAGGGAAACAAGAAAGTAGTCCTACATGAAAATAATGACAGCAACACATCAAAACCTGCGAGGTGTACCCAAAACTGTTCTTAGAGGGAGATACATGACTTTAATACATATGCCTATATTTAAAAAGTAGGAAAACTTAGATGTTAAGGAACAGTAAATGAATATATACATAGGTGCAAACATCACATAAACCAATAAGCCAAACAGAAACATAAAACATAAACCAAACAGAAAATCATGATAGATATTTTTAAAAGCCCATGGTAGATGATTTTTAAAGACTGATAAAACTGCTAAAAAGTCAAATAAGCCTAATTAAAGGAAGAGAGAGAAATCAAAATGGCTGATATGAGATGAGAAAGAAAGCATATTATTATTTTTTTAATAATTTATTTAAATTTATTTTAGGTACATTGGTGTGAAGGTGTCAGATGCCCTGGCACTGGAGTTACAGACAGTTATGAGCTGCCATGTGGGTGCTGGGAATTGAACCCAAGTCCTCTGGAAGAGCAGTCAGTGCTCTTAACTGCTGAGCCATCCCTCCATCCCCGAAAGCATATTCTAAGCATATTATTTTATATACTAAAACTAGTAAAAGGGCTAGTAGGGGGCCGAGGGATGGCTTTGCAGTTAAGAATGCTTAGTTCTTTCTCACTTATATCATGGTCGAGGATAAGTACCCTCGCTAACTGCTGGTAAAACCAGAGTAATGGCTTCCTTGGGTGGGTATGGAGAGAGAGAGAGAGAGAGAGAGAGAGAGAGAGAGAGAGAGAGAGAGAGAGAGAGAGAGAGAGAGAAATATGGAGCCATTCCACATTTTGAATGCTTACGCATCAAAGATCATGTGTGTCACTGCTTATAAATTATACCTCAAAAAATCTGAAAAGCAGGACATCTTGTAAACATGAGCCAAACAGGAAGATAGGCAGAGGTTGGGCTGGCCTCACTGGTATGAAGATGACCTCAAGTTCAAATCCTTTCCAGGCAAGTTATTCAAATGGAATTCTGTTTTATGTGCCATTGGTCCTTAAAATTCAGTCTTGCAGAGTTTGAGATCAGACTTCCAATGAGGAAGCATCTTTCCAGGCTGAACAATGCCTTCTTATTTTTTGGTGGGATGGCTGTCATGCAGAGTCCCTAACCAGTTCCCAAGGACATCAGCTGGACTCATACTTCAGACATCTCTGGTGGAGATCTCAAAAGTCTGGGATCAGGAGCTGGGGGGACAGCTCAGTCATTCAGGTGCTTGCAATATAAGCATGGGGATCTGAGTTTGATTCCCAGAGCCCACATAAAAAGGCCAACATGGAATAGTGCTTGCTTAAAATCCCTGCTTTGGGGAAGCAGGGACAGTTAGATGCCTAGCACTTGCTGGCCAGTCAGCCTAAGCAAATCAGTGAGCCCTAGGTCCCAGAGAAAGTTCCAGTTTCAAAAACACAAGGCGGGAAGCATTCTAAGGAATGATACCTAAGGTTAACCACTGGTCCCCATATTTGTGTACCTATAATACACAGACCAAACACATAGGTACACCCACACATGCATGAACACACACATACATTAACACACAGTGTCTTAGTTACCTTTCTGTTCTCTGACAAAACATCTTGACCAAGGCAAGTTCTAGAAGGAAGGGTTTATTGGGGCTTACTGTTCCGGGGTAAGGGGGTAAGAGTCCATGCCCATAATGTTAGGGAGCATGGCAGTAGGCATATATCTTCCAAAAAGGCAACACCTCACTTTTAATCCTTCTCAAACAGCCACCATCTGGGGACCAAATCTTCAAATGCCAGAGACTTATTGGGGACATCTCATTAAAACAAGTCTGTGAGTTCCTCCTGACCTCAGGGAACCAACTTGGCAGTTCTTACACAGCATTCATATATGTACTCCAAGCCACATTGTTCCCACAGATTTAAAAAGAAAAAAAAAACAAAAAACAAAAAAAACACCACTGGATTGTAATCGAATTAACCAACATAATGAGAGAATTTCATAATTAAATGAGCTAATGTACATAAGGAAAGGAAGTGCTTAGCACATAGCAACCACCACATTGTGTAATTTCAGTATCTGTTTTCTTTTACAATAATTCGTTTTATAAATGGGGCTGGTGAAAAGAGAGCTCTCCGGCTGTGATGTAGAAACTGGTGAATGCAAGTACCCACACCTGGAGGCCAGGGGGACGCTGGGGACCTGCTCTGTCCCTCTCCTCCTTATTCCCTTGAGACATGCTATCTCACTGAATATGGAGCTAGGCTAGCAGCCAGCAATCCGCAACAATCCTCCTAGAATTCTGAACAAATGAGAAGCCCAGTGCTGGGATAATAGTGTGCGCAGCCGCGCCCAGATGTTTGCGTTCTGGGGAACCCAAACTGAGGTCCTCAAGCTTACACGGCAAGCTCTGTTACCCGCTGAGCCATCCCCAGCCTACAGGTGAATTTCTATATAGTTGTCTGTTTCCCCTTTTCAGGACCCGAACCTTTGTTCTTGTGTTAGCTGGCTCGGCTGAAGTGGTGAGGGATAGAACACTAAACTCACGCCAGCTTCAGCAGAAAGGGAGATGTCATTGGTTCACACAATCGAAAACTGTAGGATCGTCTATTTAAATAGCTCTAGGCCTTCCACCATTTTTGACAACCCTAGGCCACGTCTCCTGGAAGCTGTTTGTAATTGTTGAGGAGGGAATCTTGCTGTGTGACCAGGAGTGGGTGGGGCCAGTTTCACAGGCATCACACAGGGATAGCGGAATGGCGATGCCCCCCACAAAGAAGGAGGCAGAGTCTGCTCTGCTCTGTCTTCTGGGTGACTGACGCGTGGCTTTAACCTGCAGACCGAGTGAGTCCTCTATGCATCCGACATGGAATCCCACATTGGCTTGTGAGCCAGCAGATGCACGTCCCCGGGGCGGTATTCACTCCTGAGAGTGAACCCAAATCAGCAGGTCCTCAAGCGCCTGCGGGACTCTTGCGTTGTCTTGTTGAGATGTGCTGCGACTAGTTTATCTGAGGCTCTGATGATTGCAATGATCCTGTCCTCCATTTTTACGTCTGTTCTCAGCGAGGCACCAGCTCTGAAAACTCCTAAGAACATCAGTCTCACACTGAAAAGGCGGCTGTTCCTGATGATAGCCCAGGACTGAGTCTTGTTAGTCCACGGATCCGAGTCTCTTTCTTCCCGCTTGGTGAAAGTTTGGGATTCCCTCAGCACTGCCCTTAGGCACACTGAAGGTAGCTTCGTGGGCTCAAAGGGCAGCCGGGAAGGATTTGTTAATGTGTTTCATTTCTTCACACGGGTTGTTGAGTCACGCCAGGTACTTTAATTGCTTCCTGGTATGAGACCGGGGTGGGGGTGGGGAGGATGAATAAATTCAACCATTCATTTGGAAACTTAAGTGCTAGCTGACTGGAAAAGAAACGAAGCCTTGTTTTTTCACAAGCAGCAGCCAGAAAGTGTCCCCGGCTTCTGCTCTTACCATGGCCATCATCATCGCGTTTGGAGACGTTTCACACTTGGGAGGTTATTTATATAACACGGGCGAGGTGCAGAACTTGACAGTTCCTTCCTAACATTTCATTCAGGCCTCCATATTTTACCACAGGGCTTGGGACAGAGGGAGCCCCCAAGGAAAGTTCCTGGGAGTCTAGTTCAATTGGCACAAGGCAGTAGCCCAGGATGGCTGGGTAGAGGAAGGGAAGGAAGAAGATACTTGAAACCCAGATGTTTCTGCATATTTTTGCTTAAAAAAAAAACAAACCAAAAAACTCTGGACTTCCTACTCTGTGGTTTGATTAAAAAACTTGGTTCCAGCCAGGATTTGCAGTCCAAAAGAATACAATTTTTCTTACCCTTGGGAGGAATCGGCCTTTGTAAAGGCAATATTCAATAAAGAAGGCTTTTTCTTTTACCCACTCTGGGCACCAGATCCCAGACTGTAGTTTGCAATAGGATCAACCCAAGAATGTCTGCCAGGAATGCTTTTGGCTGAAAAATAGTGGAAACTATGACAAGAAGTTTCTGAGACACTTGATGAATGTCACATTAAAAAA